GAGAAAAAGGTTAATTACCACAATAAGAATAAAAAAATGCATTAGTTGACGGACATTTATTAAGAAACTTATTTCTTGATTGGCAAATCTACAGAAGTGAGATTAAAGTAATGATAATATTAATTATTTCATTTGCAACTATAAAAATGTTAAATGGTTAAAAATGGTTAATACCATACGATCTCAGAGAAGATCTCAAAAAAGCATACCACGACCACAAATACCACAATCACTTTGGTAACTATTCGGAAAAACCAATTTTAGGCAATCTGAAAAATCATGTCTTCAAATATTAGGTGAAGTATCCTGAATTCTGCAATAAGAGAATCATAAGATAAGATTCGAAAAGTTAAAGAGAATTTGGGCGTTCTTTCGCTACGAACAAGGTAGGTAATATATTCTTTCGAAGCGGGGAAAAGAAAATGCCCATTATCAGATAAGCAGGATTAAAACCAAACTTCCACATGTACTATACCTACTTGATTATGGAAAAAGGAATTAAAATCAATTTGGTCTTGATAATAAGCTGACATCTCGAAACATGTGGACTCAAAGTTGTAATATTATTTTATTATTTAATATATTTGTGAAACAATAAGCCAAGAGTTTGATTTAAAAATTTATATTAAATATTATATCTCATTTTAGTCTTGATAATGACCGCTGACCGCTATTTTACTATTCAATATTTTTGTGCAGCATTGAGCCGAAAGTTCGATTCAAATTTTTATACAATTTTTATTTTTCACCAAGAGGTAAGCGAGAATTCAATCTTGGTTAGGAAAAAGGAATTGTTTCGAATATGACATGCAGACTTAATTGTTGAAAAAAACTTTAATTTCAACAGATGATCTCGTGGCCGATCAAATAAATGAACGACCACTAAAATGGCATCAAACACGATAATTTTTTAGGTCAAGCGATAAACAGTTTTTGTGAAATTATGAACAACGAATATCATTGCAAAGTGGTGGTGGTCTTTTATGTACGGAGATCAGTAAATTATTTCATCAAACTTTGTCACACATACTTAAATTACTCAATTAATTTTCTTATTGTTCATTATACAATACAATACATAATACAATAAATCAAGAGTAACTATAGACGTATATCTCCATACTCAGCCGGTGTGAAGTTAGCAACGAAATCTCAGCAACGAATCGTACCTAAAGGTGTCACACGCCTCAAGATATGTATATAAGAACTTCAACTCGGTCATCAAGTATATCTGTTGCTTAAACTGAATTATTTTCCTTTTTTATATATTTCGAAAATGTCGATAGTGTTGGTAGATTGTATAGCGTTTTCTACTTATTATTGTTAGTCCACAAAAATTTGATAGATGATTTCGTTTACATATTTAAGTCCCTTTCGACAGTATATGGTCACTTCAATGTCGCAGTCGCCATTGGCGTCGTAAAGGGGTGATAGGGGCAAAAAATTGCAGTAAAATCTCTGTATTTTTTAAACTATGTTAGTTCACAAAAATTTGATGAATGATTTTGACTACATATTTAATTCCATTTCCATAGTATATGGTCACTTCAATGTCGCAACCATCATGAGCGTCCTATAGGGGTGTTTGAAAAATACAGCAATTTTACTGAAAATTTTTGCCTCTATCACCCCTATACGACGCCAATGGCAGCTGCGACATTGAAGTGGCCATATACTATCGAAATGAATTTGAATATGTAGATGAAATCATTCATCAAATTTTTGTGAACTAACTTTGTTTAAAAATACAGCAATTATACTGCAATTTTTGCCCCTATCACACCTATACGACTCCAACGACGGCTGCGACATTGAAGTGACCATATACTATCGAAAGGGATTTAAATATGTAGACAAAATCATTTATCGAATTTTTGTGAACTAACTTAGTTTAAAAAATACAGGACTTTTTGGCTTCTATCCCTCCTACCATTTCCTATCGAAAGTGAGGTACTAAACGAGTACTAAACACTATACAGTCTACCAGATCTATCGACATTTTCGAAATATATAAAAAAAAGGATAATAATTCAGTTTCAGCAACGGATATACTTGATGACCGAGTTGTGATTTCGAAGTTCTTTTGTATACATATCTTGAGGCGTGTGACACCTTTAGGTACGATTCGTTGCTGGGATTTCGTTGCTAACTTCACACCGGTCATACTAATGTGGTCTTATTCAACAATATCCAACTGATGGTAGTTGGGAGGACTGGTTGATAATGTGAATGATTATTTCCATGAATTTGAGGGTTTTTGATAGAAAATTATCTGATAAGTTTCAATTTTCAAAAACTCGTTCAATGCTATTAAATGCCTTAGATTTAATCCTTCCAAGCTTTGAATACGTAGAGTGCAAAGATAATAATATTCTCTTGCACACTAAGACAACTGTACCTCAATTTGAAATTTGTTATTCTTTTGAACAACATTCTCCTGCATCTGTAATCCGCAATCTGTAATATTTTATCTGCTTATGAACGGTGAGATTTAATTTTTATAATTGAACTGTTTTTGTTTAATTCGGTTATGTATTTGATTTTCAGTTTTTTTTTATTTTTTGGATATACCAATTGTTTTTGAAAAACTTTTCATCAGGGTTTGTGTGGCAGAACAGAGGTATCGTTGCATACCTACTATCTAAGATTGTTTTTACGTTATTTTATGATGCTTCGAGAGTTAATGAATTTGTTTTATTTCTGTTACATTTTTGGTGTCATGAAATGAATGTATATATTTCAATAAAGTCCTAATATTATTATTATTTTTGGTATCATTGCTACAAGAATTTATGAAAAACCCATTGCCGTGGTTCAGATTTTGTTTCTCTAGATGTTGACTAATTCAGTTGATTTAATGATTACTTAATATATGTACTAATCATAATACAAAATGAAAGGTTGAATTATCAACATGAATCGATATACTGATGTCCCAGACAACTGTTATCATCGAAATAGCAAGATATCGTCAAATGCCATATAAAGATTAAAATTAATATAGTTACAGTATTACCTAATTTTCTTAATGAACGTCCATAAATGGAAATCTCATGTTTCGGATTATAAAACACGTAAAATTTTCACTGGATAGATACGTACATTCAAATAACGTGAAAGGATTAATTACACACATTTTAGATAGTCATATTTGCGTAGTAAAAGCTTTGAATATAATATTTATTCTTGAATTTAATAGGACGTATATTTGATTGTCTTGAGGCTTATTCGACGAATTGAATCTCATATGTGATGAAAATAGCCTGAAACTAGGTGATTTTAAAAAATTTCCATTATACTTTACAATTACAAGAGTCTTAGCCTTTTATGGAAAAAGAAGCATGGTTCAGCTTCGAAGAAAATGTTAAATTAATTGAACGAGAAATTTCAGAAATGATAGAACTAAAAATTCATTCATCAGGTCTGTTTCATTTTGATGGGATCACTTAGAAATGCTAAGTAATTTGGTTATCAATTTTTAAAGAAATAACTATGAAAATACTACTACCTACCTACTTTATAAGCTTATAAAGTAGATACAAAAATCGATACGGATTCTTGCAGATGTCTGCTATCGGTGTACCTATAAAAATCGATATCGAATTCGATATCAGTTCAACACATATATCACATTTGAACACGGCATGTGTTTAATTGGTAATTCAATTATAGGTAGTTGAACTTTCACAATCTCTGAATTATTTTATATGAAGTTGGACCTTTCTATGGAGTTAATTTGGGTAGTACTTAGTTACCTACAAATTTTGATATTATCTACTGCTATTGCAAGGTGCATACCTACCTACGTTTATTACAATTTTTTATACATAACACTGTTTAGTTTTGCATATGAATAGCTGTTCGATAATTATCGCAGTCGATTATTAAATATAGTCATTATATTATGACCGCACAGCCGCGGTCCGAATTGGCGGTATTGAATCTGAACGACTTAAAACTGGAGCCGGCGTCAGGTAAGGTTGTATATAATCTTCGCTATTGATCAACAAATTCACTGAATACATCATGCGGATAGTTCTTGAACACTGAGACAAGGGAATATCCAGATCGTAAGTTGTCAAATCTAATGATACCACTCAATGATATCATGATGATACCTCTCTCTTAGCCTCAACCAAAGATGACATGGAGACTCTCCTTTGTTCATTGGAGACCGCAGCTAGGGAGTTTGGACTCGCTATTAACCGCGATAAGACCAAAATTATGATCGTGGACCACCCTAATAACAACCAGGTGAACGTTCAAAACATTGCGGGATGTGAAGTAGTCAACAACTACGTATATCTGGGCTCCAAGATCTCAAACGCTGGGAGCTGCGAGGACGAAATCCGGAGGCGTTTCGCCATAGCAAGATCTTCAGTGGAAAAGCTCACAAGGATATGAAATATAATGAAATGCCTAGTCTTTCCAATTCTCTTGTACGGAGCTAGGACATGGACATTAAGGATGCAAAATCGTCGCAAAATTGATGCGTTAGAAATGTGGTGCTGGAGACGCTTGCTCAGCACCTGCACATCTGACAGGACTGAACATCGAACCAACGTCTCGATTCTGAAGGAGCTAAACATCTAAGAGAGGTTATCGTCGACTGTGCAGCTGCGAATTCTTGAATTCTTTGGTCATATAACCCGAAACGAAAACTATCTATCGAACTATTGGTGGTCCAAGGGAAAGTCGAGGGCAAAAGATCGCGTGGGCGCTTTCCAACAAGATGGACAGATCTGATAAAATCTATCACGCATTTCAGCATCAATGAAAACTCTAGAGCCACTAAGCATAGAGCAGTGTGGCGCCGTATTGCGTGGGACGTAGTGGAACCAGGCCGAGACACGACCACGACCAATCTGTCGAGAGTGAACCACTGAGAAGGAGAAGAATATTATGACTTATATTAAATATAACTCATAACAAAAAACACTTAAGTAAATATTTGAAGTGGATGATATTTTTTGTAAATGGATTGAACAAATTGTAAGCCGGTCTCCGTGGTTTAGTGAGGAGAACACCCGACTATGAAGTGGTAGAACTCGGGTTCGAGCCCCGGTGAAGGCAGGGGTGTTTGTGATTGTCTATGATTTAAGTAGTTCAAATAATGATATATGCTGGGAAATGTATATTGATAACAAGGCCGATCTCCTTTCAGAACCGGCGTTAGACTGTAGGTTCACTGAATTCAAAAAAAAAGTAGTAGGAGGGTCCCCTCCTATTTTTTGTAGATGGACTGAACAAATTGTAGAAATGATTATTTCGTAATAATGTTCTTCATAGGCATCTATTCACATCAAAAATGCATTAAAATGTTGAATTAATAAGAAATCAGTAGCGTAGAGAAGAAAAATGGATTCAATTATTTGAACGGGGTGAAACTACTAGTAAATGGATTGAAAAAATTCATTGAATGAAAAAATCTCGTAAGGTGTGCGTAATATAAAGAACCTCGATCAAAATTCATTTAAAAAATAGATAACTTCGAAGCAGTAAGGTGTTACAAAAACACATCTCAAAGATTTGAAAGGGATGAAATTTCTTCTAAATGGATTGAACGAATTCCGAAACCGCATGAATATGATGTGTTGTAGTCGTCTCAATACACTACAATGAAAATTTCGCTCAAATGTTTAATGGCGAATTAAATTTTTTTGCATATAATTAAGTACTAATTGAAATTTGAACACATGATCATTTCTAGCATATTATATCACTCTAATTATAATCATAAATTAAAGCATAGCTCTGCACATTAAAAAGAAAACATTAATTCCAGTATATAATCGATACTCAGTGATTCATTCGCAATATCACATTGTAGTAGATCCCGCCGATCGTGACGTGTGTGAGTACCTTAGACAAACTGATGGCTGAAAAACCACCAGTTTCTCTGAGTACCCTTAGAGAAATCCATCAGTCTAGATTAGGTCCGTTTCAGTTCAACATTTAGGTATTTAAAAACCGGTTAAATATTATTGAAAAATATGTTTTATTAATATTCATTGTTTCAACACCAAATCATCATTTTAATCAACATTAAAATTATTCATAAATTTTTTAATTTTGATTCTTTTTACTCTAGTAGTACCTACCTACCTACTTAATAGATGAATATTACAATTTATGCACACAGGTAATTTCAGAATTTTTTTTTAAATTTATATAAATACCTAACTATCCATTGAAAGTCCGGGAAACAACTGAATAAACCATATCTCAAATTGTATCCATAGCCTACCTAGTAAGTATGAGACTGCCAAATCGAAAATCTGGGTTGGAATTCCGAGTAAGACACGTATGTTGTGAAAATATAAATCATAACGGGAGATATATTACTATAGTTACTATACGAGTACTATTTATAAACCCAATATACAAAATAAAAAATGTTATTTTGGGTTCATGTGAAAAATAAGTATTTATTCTAATATTAGACATTGATATTGAACATTATTGATACTTATCCTGAAAAAAATTTCCCCAAAAAACCTTCAAAATATAAATAAGTAGTTAACATATGGATTTATTGACGTACGAGTTTTGCAGTACTTTGAACTGATTGTTGCTAACTAATAACGTTAAACACGAGGCCGTTCACTGTTTTTCCACTACAATATATTGTTCTTATTTCCAATATAACGTTATTATGACGTAAACAATTCAGTAAACAGCAATATTTTTTTCATTGCTTCATGTGATCAAAATTTTTCAGTATTTTAGAATTTGGTATAGTTGGTAAATCCTTAATTGGTTCAGCTTTCATCTCAACTTTGCAAAAAATTTTCGACTGCACATTTGAAGAATACTTAATATGGACAAAATTGAAACATTCATCATTTGATTGCTCCCTCAATTATGAATGTTCAGCATTGCCCTGTCGATAAAAAGTTCGAATACCTACTTAAAATTTCTTAAAATGAAGTGAATGTTTCTCAATCTTACTTTTACCACCTATTTACGATGGACAAAATAGAAAATCATATTCCTCAGTCTTAAGAATTTATTCACTGGGTAGTTATAACCAGTAGGTACGTCGTTAAGGCTGTTATTCCGAATAATATGTACAAAATCAGTATATTACGCTGTATATTATATATATAGTATAGTATATACAGGGTATATTAATATAAGAGCGTTTACTTACGTAAATGATAAAATTGTAAATGGAAAAAAATTGCAAAAGCAACATTTTGGAATAGGTTGAACGCAAGAATTATTTCAATATCTTTAAAATCCTAAAGTTTCTGGAAAGTTCTTTCAATCTCACTGTCTTTCAGCAATTAAATCGTTAAGAATACAGAAAAATCGGTGGGTCTGGGACTACTGTCAATGAGGTATCCCAATGTTTATGGCTGTTAAAATATAAATTAGAATGTATACGGACTTCTGAATATTAAGGCACAGAATGCTTGAAAAGATTTGGAAAGTTTTTCGTATTAATTTAGGTATTATATTTATAGTGATTGAACAGTATCAAATTAGAATGTAGATTACATAGTAAATTCCCATGTTTTTTAGCAATATCATTACGGATAACTATTACATTTGCATTTCTTGAACAACAAAAGTATTATATATACACACATATTTGATTCCCATTTGAAATCTCAAAGCATTTCCTCACAATGAAATTAAATAATCCTTATCTTATCAATTGACAAAAGTACATTTCAGATTTATACTCGAGAGTAGTTCTATTTTTATGCAAACTCAAAAAGTAATAGGTACCTAGTCAGACAGCACAAATTTAATATTCTAATTTTATTTACTTATGTATTTAAAACAGGAAGGTATACCGATTGTGTCATCATAACCTCGATACGCAGTTCCTTATTCCTGAAGTTATTAGAGCAGCATGAATGCGAAAAGAATGGAAAGTAATTCACGACAATAAAATTTTGTTCTAAATCTTCAAGGTCGAATGCCAATACGTCAATCTGTCCCCCAATTCTCAGAAGATTCATTAATTTGAAATAATTAAATGTTGCCACTCATGACATTCAGTGTTAGTTTTTAAATTCTGTAAATTCACATCGTGTCACCACATAATACAAAGCCGATAAATATTGGTAAACTTTACCTCATTTAAAGATTTTCTGCATGAAACTCCACTAGAAATAAAACTCATATGTAAACATTACTTTGACACCATTCACAATTTCGAAACACGGAATGAGATTCACTGAAATCAGAATCATAGAGCATTCGAAATAACTATCACAAAACCAACCTTAAATTACTTTGTTTATGAAACACTGAACATATGGGTTCATGTAAAACACAAAATCAATAGTAAATGTTAGACACGTGCATCACAAAATAACCACTACTGTAGAAAATTAGCACTTTTGAGGCGGACCGGTGAGTAACAACAAATTGTACGATGTATACGAATTGTAATTGGTCATAAACCGACGTTTGATATTAGTACGCAAAACGGTTGAAGGTGGCGTGCTGCGATACTCAGCTGATCCATACCAATCGACGCTATGTAGTGTACTGGTAAAAATCCCTAGAACGCGACATGAAAAGCGGAGATCAAAATGACTAATAAAATAATGAGGAATTAATATAATTGCTTATTCAATTCATGATGATTTTCACTGAATCTTTGTTATTTCTCTTACAAGAACATAATGTAATTGCACTAGTAATGGGAAACTATCTTTATATATCTATATAACTATCATAAAGAGTGAATAACTTATAGATATGAATTGAATCTTATTTGATTGAAACATACTTGAATTATTCAAACATGACATTCGTGTCAATGTTCGTCAAATAATCAAACTTCGAAAATATTTCATCATTTATTGACAAAATGTATACGCATCCACCAATTTTGCATCCAAAATCGCTTTACAAATTAGAAACGGAAGAAAATAGAATTTTAACAAACTTATTTATGAAATAAAATTGCAGTATTTGGAATAATTAATTTTCCCAAATAAACAATGAGAAGTTTATGAATATATCCATTTATCAAGAACAGTATAATAAATCTATAGTTATAGGTATTGATAGATTCATAGTTAAATACGTTCTTAATCGTCATAAAATCACAGGAAAAACTCCTGGAGAGCCTAATAATTTTGCACCTATCTAATTATTATAAAATTGAGTTTGATATAACAATAAATATATCATATTATATGGATATGTGTGCGATAATTTCAAATTACTAACAAGAATATTTATATTGCTCTATATTATTTTAATGAATATATTTCAATACGTCTTGCAATGGCTGTTTTGAAACCTCATAAAGTAGAAATCATCCTGGATCGAATAGTGGACATAAAAGTTACGAAGGGCAGACAAAACCCTTCCATATGAATCTATCATTACTTTTTCAAATTGGTAGAACTGAACTGAGAAAAACGAAATATATTAAATTATGTAAATCGGCGCTTAGTGAATATTGACTTACACAACTCTCATATCTTTATGTTGTGCATTGAAACGTTTCATAGAATTCATCAAGATGCACAAATACGAAAATATCAATGATTGTGAACAGATTACAGTTTTTGAAACAGTCCAGTATAGTTATTCTTGAAGTAGAAGAAAAAATGCCCGTGTGACACTTCAAATCAATAAAATGCATCATTAATTCCACTGTGGGACTTGATTAGGCGTATCATTCGAAAAAGAATTTGTTGTGAAAAATTATATCATCAGCGCATCCACCAATTTGATTCTCAACGTATAAAATAGGTTTGTTTCATTTTATGGTGATTCTTCATACTCACCGAATCGCTTTCTTCGAGACTGAAATCCCAAGAAGGAGCTGGAGAAGGGCATCTGCTGCTCCCTGAAAGACTCACTCCTTGCACAGAGGTAATGGTATCATCTAATGGGTGGTCTTCAGGAATACTAGCAAACGGCTGACCTCGATGTCTAGGTGGCACTGGAGAAGTGGTTCCCTGAGTTTGTATTTGATCGGACACAACCACCCCCGAGGGGCTCACAACCGTCACATTGAAGCGGCGGCCTGAAGTTGCGCCAGACGCTGTAAAGTGCGAATCTATGAATAAATTAACAAATGCCGTGAAAATAAC